CGTTTACCGTTTCTTTCTTGAACTGTTTTCATTGTTCGTCGGCAGAAGAACTGTTTGATAAGGCAATCAGCAGAGTCGGGCGTCCAAGGCAGAGCCGCCATTCTGTTTGGCTCATCGATAACCTTTGTTAGGCGTTTACAGTTGCTCTATTTTATTTGAGCGCTATTTTGCTCTACTTTTTATTCCTGTTTGCACACTTGTTAGCTGTACGTGCGAGCTTTGGCTACACTTTGCACTCTTTCTTACTCTCCCTCTCTCCCTCTCTCTTGTCGTCTATCAGTCTCTTTTTATGCAACACAACGTATTTTGTTTTCCCGTTTCAATTCCGCTTTAAATTCAATTAACAAATGACATCCAGTCGAGCCAACTCATTACATATGTACATATATATTTATATGTATATTTATATTTATGTATGTATATGCTAACTGTCTAAGCAGCAGCAAATTCCGCTGACTAATCAGTTTGAGCAAAGCCTGGGCTTGTCTTAGGGCTACTCTTTGTCCACTTTCGCTTAAAGTTGATATTTCAAACGCTTTGACTCAAATAACTGAGTATTCGTCATAGAAGAAACGTTGTGGAGAATAGTCAGCAGCTGGCAGTTTCTTATCAATAAAACGCCATCGATCTCTGAGTAATCCAAATAATAGCAATCTATATTTGCCCTCGGTTTATGTATATGTAACTAACAGTAAACATGTCAAATAAATAATTGTAATCAAATAATTGCATTTACTAGCAACTGGTTATATAAGCAGCCCTCTGCCAGCTCCAGTTACAATTTTTATTCAATTTAAACAATATTTTTGCAATAGCATCAAATTACTAAGTGATTTTCCATAAACATTTCATTCTTTGTTTGTTTATTAACTTATTTACGAGCACGAAATCGCTCAAGTCTTTGTTTGCCAAGATTGTGGACATAAAAGAACGTCGCAAATTTTGTGCAATGAGAAGTCGTAGATATACACATACATATATAATATATATTTATATGCCATGTCCGTGCTTATCTGTATTATATATAGATTTGTTTGCTTCTTACAAATTACCGCTTTGCTGTGCCCCACAGCACAGAAATAACAGTAATTTTTCTGCAAATTAAATTCGAAATGTATTCACAACAATATCCGATTAATATCTTAAATGGAAGGGGAGCTAAACATAGTCCCCCACTGTCCATTAAATGATATATGTATATGATTGTGTATACTTATTTACCGCGGGTGCATTCAACTAGCGCATGTTGCGAGGGTTCGTTCAATGCTTTGGACTCTGGTCTTTGCTGACTTGGTGAAACACGATTATGAATGCGGGTCATTTGAGGCGTTTTGTTTTGCTTAACTGCGGATGCTGCAGTTTTTTTATTGCTTACTTATCAATTGATACATTTTGGCTGGTTTAATGAACGATGTCTTCTGTTTCGGCCCGGCAGCAATGCAAAGGACTGCAGAGCGACGCGCCACTGCATTCAGACCGTGTGGGAAAAGCGAGTGGTGCCTGTGGACACTGATTCCATTTGTCAGATATGCAAGGATATGGTAACACAGGCCCGCGATCAGCTGCGCAGCAATGAGACCGAGGAGGAGCTTAAGGAGGTATTCGAGGGCTCCTGCAAGCTTATTCCCGTCAAGCTGGTGCAAAAGGAGTGCATCACGCTAGCCGACAACTTTATACCCGAGCTGGTTGAGGCCTTGTCCTCCCAAATGAATCCCGACGTAAGTAGCTTAAAAAATAAACACATTCTCTTTACATTCATCTATAAATTGCAATTGCAGCAAGTTTGCTCCGTGGCTGGTTTGTGCAACAGCGCTAGGATTGATGAGCTAATGAAGCAAGCCTATCAGGCAGCGTTGGATGGCACCCTCAAAGAAGAGGAAGTGGTTGTCAAGAAAGAATCCGAGCAGTTGGAGAAGAAGGAGTCTGGCCCTACACAGCTGTCCTGTGGCAACTGCAATCTGCTCTCGCGCAAGATGCAGAGCAAGTTCGAGTCAACGAATCGCGACAACATGGTTGAACAGCTGCTGCATTGGTGTGGCACCATGTCCAGCTTTTCTGATGCCTGCGCGAACTTGGTGCTGACCTATTTCAACGATATGTACGAGCATGTGCAGCAGCATTTGCAAACGGATGGCCTGTGCCATTTGTCTGGCGTGTGTGCGGCCCGCTACCATCAGCACGAGGATGATGTTAAGGAACCGGAAGCACTTACAACTTTGGAGGGCGTTGGCGATGACATTCCCTGTGCTCTGTGCGAGCAGCTGGTGAAACATTTGCGTGATGTTCTGGTGGCCAACACAACAGAAACGGAATTCAAGCAAGTGCTTGAGGGCTTCTGCAAACAGTCGCGTGGCTTTAAAGACGAGTGCATCAGCATCGTGGATCAGTACTATCATGTCATATACAGCACACTGGTCAACAATCTGGATGCCAATGGTACTTGTTTCCTCATTGGCGTTTGCCCCAAAGGCTTGGATCTTGGTTACGATGCGCCCATTATGCCGTTGCTGCCTGCCATTGCGCCTGCCGAAGTGCATGTGACTATTAAGAAGCTGGGTGCCAACGAACCTAAATTTAGTCAGAAACAAATTTTGGAAATGCAGCTGCCCATTGATCATTTGATGGGCGCCGCCAATCCCGGCCAGCTGGTGCAGGGCGGTGAACTGTGCACCATTTGCGAGTACCTGCTACATTTTATACAGGAAACGCTGGCCACGCCCGCTACCGATGATGAGATTAAGCATACCGTTGAAAACATTTGCACCAAGCTGCCACGAGGCGTAGCTACTCAATGCCGCAATTTTGTGGAAATGTACGGCGATGCGGTCATTGCGCTGCTCATCCAGGGCCTGAATCCGCGCAGCGTTTGCCCCATGATGCAAATGTGTCCGCGTAACATTGAGAAGCAAGAGGACATCGAGGTGTTCAACCCAGAAACAGTGTCAAGCGATCAACAGGATAAGCCCACATGTCCACTCTGTTTGTTTGCCGTGGAGCAGGCTCAGATCAAGATACGCGACAACAAGTCCAAGGAGAATATCAAGAAGGTTCTCGACGGTCTCTGCTCGCATCTGCCCAGTAAGCTGCGCTCCGAGTGCGTAGACTTTGTGGAGACCTACTCCAATGAGTTAATTGACATGCTCATCACAGACTTTAAGCCGGAAGAGATTTGCGTGCAGCTCAAGCTGTGCCCTAAGTCCAAGGATTATCTGGATGAAATGGGAATCAGCCTCTTAGATAGCGCGGAGACCGATAAGTCAGCCAGCAGCAGCGAGGAATTTGCTGCCAATGAAATTAGCTCCAGCGATGAGCTGCCTATTCAGATCACCGTTGACAAGGACTTTAGCCTGGGACCCAATTGCTTGATCTGCGAGGAGGTGGTCAAAACCGTAGAAAAGAAGATCGGCAAGCACGCGACAAAGTCAGACATCAAGGACGCCCTTGAGCACTCCTGCGACAAGTTAAAAAAACCGCTGGCCAATAAGTGCCACATATTCATTGACAAACACGGCGATCAGATTGCCGATCTGCTGCTGAGGGAGATGGATCCCAAACTGATATGCCTGGAACTTGGCATGTGCCTGGGCGGCGAGTCGGAGGATCGTAAGTGCAAAGTATTCCCTTAAATTTGTAATATATTAGAAGTTTACTCTCAATTGACAGTTGACATCGATGAGGCCCTGAAGTACGATGTAATTGTTTTGCCCAAGCGTCAAGACGAGAAGCTGGCACGCCTAGAGTCAACTAAAGTCGACGAACCGCCTACCTGTGTGCTTTGCGAGTTTATTATGACCAAACTGGAGACGGAACTGCAGAACAAGACCGAGCAGGATGAGATCAAGAGAGCCATACGCGTTGTCTGCGATCGCCTCCCATCAACCATACGCAAGCAATGCGACAGCTTTGTCGACGGTTACGCCACGGCCATTATTAGTCTGTTAAGCAAAGTGCCGCCCAAGGAGGTGTGCCAGAAGCTGCAGCTATGCTTTAGCCAGGCCGTCAACGACGAGGTCATCGAGTGTGGCGTTTGTCATGGTGTGTCGCAGTCCTTGCTGCCCTTTTTCCGTTCACAAAAGGATCACGACAAGTTGGGCGTACAGGACATGATCTCAGAGGCCTGTGAGAACTTGCCAGCCAAGTACTATAATATTGTAAGTCAAGAATAAGACATCTTAATTTTATTTTTTAACTTACTAATTTGAAATTATTTTTGTTTTTTGTAGTGCTCCGAGATGATCTCCATTTATGGCTTTAGCATCATGCATCTGTCTGAGCGTCCCTATATTGATCAGTCGCACGTCTGCGCCGAGATTGGCAAATGCTTCGATAGTGAGAAGTCCGCGCTGGCCTTTGCCAGAATTTCAGGTGTGTGACAGCTTCTATTAGTAGACTCATATGTAAAGTGTCTTAATTTACTTCAACCTTTAATTACAGCTTAAGATGTTGCGTGTTGCGAACTAAACGCAACCGCCACGTGATGTGTCGCAAAGAGGCGTCACGATATATATATATATATTATATCTAAACTTATGTTTACATTCTGTACTTGATTGGGACTGTAAATGATCGAAAATTGACTTATTCTTTCGCACGTTTTATATGTTTATTTCCTTTTCTTACTTACTTTATATTGCGCTTAATTCGAGAAAGAAATTGTGGGTGATAGTTAATATACGAACGCAACGGAAACTGATTGATTTTTGTAAGCGTATGCGAAAAGGGCTTAAATTAAACATAAATTGTAATAGTAGACGCGCTCATTCCGGTCATGTACTTTTTAAAAACCACTTAAAAACTGAAATCACTTTAAACTGGTTTTAAAACCCGGAACAGGCTGAGAGAAATCAACCAAATTCCCCGAACTAAATAAAAAACAAAGTGTGTGTGTAGCATAAGACGCCAAGTGTAAAACATGAGAACGAGAATCAAATCTGATAAATAAATCTTTTAAATGTAAAAAGCGCGCATATTACAAATTTTTGGAAACAGTTTTTGTGTGTACACTATAATATATTTTTTCTATTAAGAATGTTTGAGGATACGCTTCTTATTATCAAGCCGGACTATATGCATAAGCGACGCCCGGTGCTGCTAAAGCTATTATCCTGTGGATTTCAGATACAGGGAAATCGAAAGTTGAACTTTTCGCCGGAGCTGGCTGCAGAGTTTTATGCAGACTTTGCAGACGAGAAGGGCTTTATGCTAGAGGTTATCCTGTTGTCTAAGGGCATTTCTGAGGCCTTCATACTAACCAAAGAGAACGGAGTACAGGAGCTACTAAATATTATGATATGTTACTTGTAAGTGGCAGCTAACAGAAAATATTTGTATGCTAATAGTTGACCCACAGCGGGTCAGCCTCGGAGCTAGAGCGTAACATCCATGTGACCAAGCATTACTCTAGCGTGGCCCGCGAGATAACCTTTATATTTCCCAACTGTAAGTGTGGCGTCCTTTATTTGAAAGTTTTAAGTAATCATTTTTGTAATGTGTCCAGATATACACGAACCCATTGAACTTTTTGATAAGAATCGGTTTTGTAATCGTCCCATGCTGAAGCCGCTGATTGCGGAAGTTTACGCTATTATGCAGAACGTTGACTGTAGCCAGGATGATTGGAAGGCGCGTGTGTCAGACTACTTGATACGCAGTAATCCAGTCGTGCCACAGATCACCAATCAGTGCCAGCTAGTACCCGATCTGGGTATGCAAGAGAGATCGCAACAGACGACCATCACATACAAATCACCAGACAAGGGCGCCAAACCCAAAGAGAAGACTTCGAGCACCACCTCAGTGCTTTCCAGCAGCTCACCGCACTCCTCCATGCTGTTAACCACATCTTCCTGTGTGACTTGTGGTGGTTTCGATCACACCGAGCCATGCGTGTCTGAGATAGATCTGAACAAGCGAGTGGAGCCGCAAAGCGATGAGCCCGTGTGCGTCGATGAGGAGATTGTTTGGAAGGAGATCATTGTGTATGAAGAGGTTGTGCCTGAGGAAGAACCGGAACCGAAGGAATTCGATGATATGTTTGGTGACGAGGAACATCTGGAGGTAGAAAAGGGCAGTTCGCTGTCCGAGTGTTTAGACCCCGAAGCCGCACGCCCACCGATTGAAGAAAATGACCTGGATCAGGAAGCTGCAGCCGATCGAGCTCCATTATTAGAAAGTGCTCCAGCAGACGATGCAGGTCAGGCTCCGCCAGCTGAAGAAGCGCCACCAGCACCTGAAGAGGCGCCACCAGCACCTGAAGAGGCGCCACCAGCTGCTGAAGAGGCACCGCCTGCTGCTGAAGAGGCGCCGCCTGCTGCTGAAGAGCCACCAGCGGAAGCAGCGGATTAATTAACACCTGTTGCCTGCGCTGTTTATATGATTTGCCAAACACTGTGTTCTCATAGCTTCTCTAAAAAGAAAACAAAATTGGTGGTGTACAGAAAAAAGGACAAACAACCCAAGCTACACGAACAACCCAACCATATGCAATGTCCCACATTCGCCCAATTTGGCTGGACGCCACCCACAGGTACTGCACTGCGCACTCGCCGTGGCCATGCTGGAGGCAACACGGCCTGCACTTTTCACTCACCAGCATTGCACTCACACTCGCAACGGCAACGGCGACTGTGGCAGTGGCAAAGTGGCAGTGCAACAGGAAGAGCAGCAGCGGCAGCAGTAGCAGAAGCAGCAACACATCGTTCGCGCCATCATTTTTTTCCGTAAGTTTTTTTTCGTCCTGCCCACATTTTTTAGTGTTCAATAAAAGGCAAATACAAAAACAAAGTGCATATGTTTTTATATGTTCCATGCCGTTATGTGTGCGTGTGTGAGTGTGCGTTTTTGTATGTCTGTGCATTTTGAATGTGTGTCAATTATAAGGGATTAAATAATTGCTTTTTTGGTAAATCGAAAATCGAAACGTTAATTGGCAAGAACATTGATTGACAGCAATTATTACTGTTATGAAAATTAAACAGCAATTGCATCGATTTTTCCCACATCAAATAGTTAGGGGGGGCTTGGTCAGATAGGTATACAAATTATGAGTACTTGTGTGTGTGTATGCAACTAGGCAGAACTGCAACTACAACAACAACTCATTGCAGCCAATATGTAGACACAGTAGCAGCAGCAGTAACATAAACCAACAACAATTTGACGGGCATCAAAGCGAAAAAAGCGCGCGAAATACGTTATGTTGAGCATCACCAATCGACAGTCGCACATACAACACCCAGCAGCAACACAGCAGCAACAGCAGCAGCAACAACAACAGCAACACATGCTGGAGAATGCAAGCGCAACACATGGCAGCCACATCTACGAGGTGGAAGAGGAGGAGGAGGAGGAGGCGCAGCAGCACGATGTGGATCTAAATTTTAGCAACTTTGCTGAGCTGTGCCGGCTGTGTGGCATACACCAGGGACCCAGCAAGCTGCACATCTTTGACCCGCAGGCGGAGCAGCGCCAACTGCTCTACAAGCTGCGCACGCTGCTGCAGGCGAATGTGAGTAGGTGTGCGTGAGTGCGTGGGTGTGCTGTGTTTATTGGCCTGTCCAATTGCTTGACAGATAACCAAGGACGACTATCTGCCCAAGCACATATGCGAGCTGTGCCTGGAGCGTCTGGAGCACTTGTACGATTGGCGGCAGCTTTGCATGCGCAACGAGCATATGCTGCGTAACTATGCCGCCTCCATGCACACGGTCCGAGCAACCATAGATTTTCAGGTAAGTGAACTGAGCAACTGCTGATAAGCGGCCGCGGCGACTGCCATTGTCAAAGTTACGCTGTCCCATTGCCAAGTTGTTCCGCGCGGCAACCACCACCAACCTGACAGAGAGTGAGAGTGAGAGAGAAAGCTCTCCGCCAGCGCGCCGAGTGGTATGCAATACTTTTTTTTAGCCACACTTCCGCCTTCTGCGCTCAAGTTCAGTCGCTTTGGTATCTGTCTGCCTCTGACTCTGTCTCTGAATCCGTGAGCTAACATCGTCGTGGTCGTTGTCGTAGTCGTCATCGTCGCACGCTCCGTTCCTGTTTCTCGTTCAAGAATAACAAATAATTACTCAAATTGTGCTCGTTGTTGACTCGACTGCGACGGCAACGGCGACTGCAACCGCGACTGCGACGCGACTGCGACGGCGACTGAGCGAGTCGACTCCAAATCAGATTCGCAATACATACACAAACAAAAGGCGCTGGGCACTGGCTCGAGGAAGTAAACGGCGACGGCAGCAGCAGCTAAAAATACAGCTCGTATAGCACCAGCGCATAACATTCAAAAAAATCTTCCAAACTGTGAGCTGCAACAGAAAAAGATTAGAAAAGCCCACAGAAATTCGCGTACAACATTTAACGCTCAGCGCGGCGGCCGTTTTTTATTGATTTTCAATTGTGGTAAGCAAAATTGCAAAAAAGAACAGAAAAAGGATGAACAAAAAAATAATATAAAATAGAAAAGCAGGCAAAGAAAAGCTACAAAACAGAGCCAGTGAAAATGTCAATAGTGTGCGCGGTGTGGGGCGGGGAGAGCGCGTTTTTTATGTTGCGGCGTTAACCAAATGCAAAAAGCGTGCAATAAACATTAAAGCCCAAGTGTGTGAACAGCCCAAACTTTGGGCAAGCAAAATTTTAGCTTGACTTTCAGTGGCGCGCTTTAAATACATTTTTGACAGACACGGAAAAGCCTCAAACCAAGAAAGGCCGCCAAAGCAGGGAGCACGGCCGGCATACACACACGCACGGCTTCAGGCTGTCGTTGGCTGGCAACGGGGGGAGGCGGCGCCACCACCAGAAGTCCAGAGCCCAGCACCAGCAGCAGCAGCATTGAAAATTAAGCGCGAGCAAAAGCTCAAGTCGCAAATTTTTGCGCAAGGGCAGGCAGTTTTGAGCACGTTCAATTGGGGGTGGCGGCTGGTGAAATTTCGCAACACTTGCGCGCCATTTAGGGGTGGCAGTGCGGCACAGCACGGCACGGAACGAAACGAAACGAAACGGAATGTGAGCGAAACACTCGACTCAATGTTTCATTGCCATTTGGTTCATTCACAGGACGGCACCGTTAACATGGACAAGATGACGGTGGCCCAGAAGAACGCATACCTGGAGGCGCATATGGCCGTGCAGCAGCAGATGGCACAGGCGGCCATCCAATTCAAGCAACAGCAGCAGAGCTCCGTGCAGCAGAGCTCCCCAACAGCCAATAACAACAATAACAACCAGAACAATGGCAACATGCAGCAGCAGCAACAGCAGCAGCAGCAGCAACAACAACAGCAACAGCAGCAACAACAACAGCAGCAGCAACAGCAGCAGCAGCAACATTATGCGGCCACCATCAAGGTCCCACAGATTAGTTCCTCCAGTTCGGCGGGCGGCGCTGCCGGCGCAGCGGGCGACAGCACCTTTACAGTGCCCGACGACGGCATGGGCTTTGAGGGCGGCGTGCGTGTGCTGCAGAGCCTGGGCACCTGGTCAGCGGCGGAACAGCTCACCTACAATATACCAAAGCCGAATCTGATACCCTTCACCGAACCATATGTGGAGGGCGGCTCCATGCATCCGGCCAGTCGCCTGAAGGCGCTGCAACAAGTGCAGCAGGCCTCCTCCGGAGTGCGCAAAACAAATCCCTCAAAGAGTGAGTAACTTGATCAACTGCAACTGGCCAACTAGCCACTAACTCCAACTGTTGCTTACAGCCACCAATAAGGCATTCGAGTGCACCGTCTGCGGCAAGGGGCTGGCGCGCAAGGATAAGCTGACTATACACATGCGCATCCACACCGGCGAGAAGCCCTATATTTGTGAAGTATAAGCAGCCCCCGGCTCAATGCCCCAGCGATTGCTGGCAGCCACTAATCTGTTGCAATCTCCATCCATTTCAGGTATGCAACAAGGCATTCGCACGCCGGGACAAGCTCGTCATCCACATGAACAAGTTCAAGCACGTGACGCCCACCAATATTGCGCCGCTCGGCAAGCGGCTAAACAATATGGTCAAGAAGAAGGAACAACCAGATCCGCCGCCAGAGGACAATAAGCAGAGCCTGGAACTGCAGCTACAGCAGCAGGCCGTGCAGGTGGCCGCCCAGAATATTATAGTGCAGTCGGCGCAGGGGGCGCCGACGGCAATTCCGGGGATCATCATACCACATCACCAGCAGCAGTTGTCCTGGACGTGCGAGCTATGTGGTCGCATGTTTTCGAGCCGGGACGAGTGGTCCATTCATGCCAAGAGTCATCTGGAGGTGAGCAAATGTCGGTTGAGCCTACCGGCCAGCGGGGCCTAAGGCGGTAAACGCACTAGTATCGGGGCGGCTCTAAACTGGCCTTCTCTGATCCTTGCAGTATTGACAACAGGAACGGTTAGTCGTAGAGTCCACAAAAACAGCAGCCGCCATCGCTAAGAGCAACAGCAACAACAGCAGCACTAGCGGCAGTGGCAACAACAACAACAGCAGCAGCAGCAACAACCATAATCGCGGCTATCAAATTGATGCAAACCGAAACCAAATACTCAACAACAGCCCGCAAATGGAGGCTCATGCACGCAGCCAGAAGATAATCATACAAAATCAGATGATCCTCAATGCCAGCCATCAGCAGCAGCAGCAGCATCAGTCGCAGCAGCACCAACATGTTGCTGGCGGCAAGAAAGCGGCCAGAAAGCACCACCAACAACAGCAGCAGCAGCAACGGCAGCAGCAGCAACAGCAGCAGCAGCAGCAGCAACAAGCACAGACCAGCGCGCCTATGTACAATAATAACACCAACAGCAATAATAACAACAGTAACAACAACAGCAATAACATCAGCAATAACAACAACAACACCAGCAACAACGGCAATAATCAGGGACATGAAGTAACTAACTATTATCAACAACAACAACAACAACAACAAACAACAATAACTACAACAACAACTACCTAAACACCATTTAACAACAAAAACACGCAACATGACACGCCATCAGCATGAAATTTTCTGTCACTTTCACTCAATTTGTATCTATGTATCTTTGTATCTGTATCCCTTCATCCCTCTTCCCGACCAGGTGTCAGTGCCCGTCTCGCACATAATTGCCAACTCACCAACAGCAGCCACTTACATGCAGGCCCAGCTGACCGGCCTGCACACCGGCAACACCATCGGCGTCGGCGTTGGCGTTGGCGATGCTAGCGGCAACATGAACATGCCCATCGTCACCTACAATGGGAATCAGTATTGCGTTATAACCCGTGCACCGGAGTCGGATGCGATTGCCATGCAGAAGCAGTCGCTGCCCCTGGACTATGGCCAGGCCACCACAGCCAATATTATTGTAATGTCGCCAATGCTGCCCCCGCAACAACAACAACAACAGCAGCAGCAACAACAACAGCAGCAGCAGCAGCAATAAACGAAGCTCGTCATGATTTGCAAATTAAGTACTGAGAAAATGAGGCGGAAAATTTAAGCTGGCATCGGTGCATGGCCCGAGGCGTTGGTGGCGTTGCCTCATTAGCCAAGCCCCTGAATTTCGATATTGGATATCGAATATCGGCAGTAAATGGCGTCTCATAACTGGCATTTGACGATGGGGAGAAAGGCAGCCGCATTGCCCGCCAAGTAAACGGATAAGAAAGTGCGCAGCCTCAGGATCCGTCTTCAAGTTTGCAATTAGCCTCAGCTCGCAAGCAGCTATAAATACAAACTGTAAATAAAGTTTTTAAAAAACAACAACAAAATTAAATTAAAAGAAAAAAAAAACTATGAAACCAAAAAATGATTTTAAGAACACCTAAGTATATGTTTAATTCTAAGAGGTAACCCATACCCAGCCGGCCGAGAGATGTTTTTAAATACTTTTCGCATGTAATGCTTCTTAAATTCAAACACAAAATCGTTTTTTAAATGGTTCGTTTTAAAAACCCATAACTAAGCAAATACAAATATGAATAATGTTTATGTGAATTGAAAACAAAAAGGAAAAACAAATGTAAACACCATTAACTATGTAGTCTAAGTCATTTTACATATCCATTGAAAATCTCAAAAAAACAGCATACAAATAATACCCATACAGCCATAAAACTGAGATATTATTTACTTATTTTTGAACATTCCAACTTTTTGTTGAACACATCTTCAGTTCAGCATTAGAAGTATCTATTAAAATGGGCTACCATTTCGATGAGCATCAATGTATTTGTATAATAGTTCGCGTTTAAATCAATTGTTTATAATTATGCTAACGGAAATACAATATCTATGTCTTAAAAAGAAAAAAAAAACAAAAAACACCTATGTAATAATGTAAGTAGTTCAGTAGTGTCCGTCAATGATACTCACATTCAGAATTACTACAGCAACAGTGTGGAAGGTAAATATATTAAATACAATAAAATCTAACAAATTTTGATTGGATTTGTGTAATTTAACTCAATGACTTAGCAAGAGCTAAGAATCTTAACTCAATTTAGTTCTTTATATAAAATATTAATTCTAATTCTAGTAAAGCATCAAATACTAGGTATGAAATGAAAGATAAGAAACAGTGTTGAAAAACAGTGTTTTTTTTTATTTTCCCCCTTGAATTTGGCTTTTACGTTTTGTAAGAACCAATAAAATCCCAACAAAATTTAGACTTTTAATGCTGTTAACCCATAGTAAATGCTCACATATATATTTAAGCCGCCCATAATTTAGACAAATCTTAACAATTTGATACCATTTTGGCTATGGCTTAAATATTTATGAAATGTTGTTTAATATTTTGTTATGTACTTTTTTTGGGTTGTAAAAATGTGTGAAGCCAAAGTTTTTAATCGATTTCTATGATTCTATTGTAAATAGCTATCTGTAAAAAGATTCTGAGATGGATCTGCCCAGTTTTACTAAAGATTTCCAAAATGTATCTTCTAATTGCTAAAAATTTTAGAGTTGTGTTCAAGCCCGGAACATTAAGTGATTTTTCATATATGGTTTCAACTCATTTTAAAGAACTCATTTTAAATGTACAATACACATGCACATTTACAATGTGTAATCGTTTAGCAAGCTTGATATCTGACAATTTATGTTGCGTATACGACGTGTTGTCCACATTTAACTGCTGCTGACATACAAACACTTATTATCAGACGCACGCAATGCCATATTCAAACCTTACACCCATTCGGAGCTGCCAATAATTGGCAGCTGTTCTCGGCCAGAATTGCGCAGACTTGAGCCACTTATTCGCTGATTTTTCTGTTTTTACGGCGCAATCGAAGTTTGGTTTGGCTTAATTGCCAAGACAAGTTGGCGGCACACTGTGAGAAGCTCAAATTCGAGACTCCAATTTTTATTTGGTCAATGCGGCGCACGAAAAACAACTTTTCGCTGGCTTGAAAAATGCGGCAAGTTGACCTTAAACGGAAACTCGTCGTTGCAGTCGACGATGGCGTCGCGTCAGCCGCGCAGTCACTAATAAATTGAATACTTCAAATGTTGTTTTTTCAGTTGTTGTGTTTTTAATGTTGTTTTTCGCAAGAATTGCAAATTAGTTGAACTGACAGCGACACGAGCGCCGCGCCGCAGCAAACTTGAACACCTACACGAAGATGACGGCGACGTCGACGACAGCAGCGGCAGCAGCAGCTGCCAAGTGTCGCTTGACTGTTTTGGTTCTTTGCATCAGTTTTAGTTGGAATTCGCTGTTGAACGGACACGGCTGCCAAATGCTGAACGGCAAATTCTATACGGGTCTGCCGCCCAAGATGGAGGGGCGGCAGTGCGGCGTTGGACGCAATCGGCAGGAATCGCATTTCTTCTGGCCCGATGATACGCGTGTGGATAGCGCTGTGGAGACGCGCGTCAAGCGACGCAATAGCCTGCAGCTGGAGTCTGGCGCGGAACGGCCGCGCTTAACAGCAGGCAGGCGGCTGAGCTCTGTGCAGGACGAGGCAACGCCAGATGTGGACACACGCCAAATGTTTCACAAGGAGTTTGCCAAGTCATCCATACAGTTCTACGACAATCTGCAGCCCAGCAATAGCAATAACAACAACAACACAAACAACAGATCCCGTTTGCTGAACCGAACACGTCGCGAGGTGACGCCCAAGCTGACGGATATTGAGCCGCTGCCAACAGTGGACGCTACGCCTGAGATAGACCCGAGCGCAGCCAGACGCCAGCAAGCCTACAGCTCCAAGATACAGTTCTACGATTACGTCAACGCCAACGATGCGGACGCCACGCAGAACAATGTACGCCGGCCCAAAATGGACATGAACAACAAGCGCGATATGGAGCTCAACTCCAAGAACAGCCCCAAGCTGCAGGTGAAGCACAATGTGCGTCACCTCAGCGTAGAGCGTGACCAGCTGACAACACCGCCAACATTGCGAATGGTCACCAAAAAGCCACTTAACGATGGCCAGCCCTGGCAGCAGGAGCAATATGAAACAGTGCGCCAACCGCCGTTGCTGCTGCCCAAGAAGATACTCAAACAGCAGCAGCAGCAGCAGCAGCCTTGGATTGAGGACTTTGACGAGTCCATGGTGAACTATGTGGACAATGGTGTGCGCCAGCTGCGGCTGCGCAGCCCCGCGCCGGCCAAGAAGCATGTCACCTACAACGAGGAGGCTGCGGAATATGCCTACTACGATGACAGGTTGGACCCAGCTGTGGGTCGCCAGCTTAAGCATTCGCAGCCAAATATGCGCACAGGAAGTGGCCAACAGCAACAGCAAAAACAACAACAACAGCAGCAGCCAAGTCCATATGTGGAAGCTGGTCGCGATACAAAATCATTAAATAACTATAATAAAAAAAATCATAATAATTATAACGAATACAGCAGCAACAACAACGGCAGCGGCGGCTTACGCTCACGGAAAAGCTTGCCCAAATTGCCAGAGCTGACAACAACATCAACAGCAACAACAACAATGCGAAGCCGACGCTTTGATGACACACGGGCAACATCAGCAAGCACAGCAGCAACAGTTGCTGCTGCTGCCGCTGCGGAGGCGACGTCTCCCTCTGACCCACGCAAACACCTGCGCAGCAGCCTCTGCTTCAACGGCGACGCTTTGGTCGTGGACGTGGGTGCTGCGCCGCAGTCGACGTCCTCTGTTGCGCTTGCGCGTCGCAGCTCAGCCGGGCAGCGCGTCAGCGTCGGCCTGCCAGACTGAGGCAGCCAGTATATACATATATACACACTTTATACATATATATATATATAGATACACTCAATATATTTGATGTGTTTATTGAATGCAACTCAACGTCGGCGTCGTGTCATGTTAATTGAATGCAACAACTGGCCGCCGCGACTGCGACGCTGGCAGCGACAATTTTATGGCTGGTTTTTTGTTGTCGTCTGTCGTTGACTTCACCCACAACGCATCAAATTAAACACCCCGCCATCGGCGTTGAGTATACATCATACATAGTGCTAATGATCTTGCCTAAAAAGCGAACAACAAATCTCTTATAATTGCTATATATATTATATACTCTTGTTGTTGTTAGTTGCCATTGGGCAGTCAAAATGTATTAATTTAGTTTCTTAAGTGAGCAAAACACAAAAGAATAATAAAAATGCTAATCAAACTCGGTGGTAACATAATTAGAACGCTTTAATTTGATTTAATACAATCAATGGCTGGGTAGATATTTAATAAAGTTAAATCGAAGAACTTATGAACATGATGTAGGCAAGGAAAGAATCTGTTTTAATTTTCATAACCGATTATATCGTATAATTAATTCAAGTCTTGCAAGTTTAGATCAATTCCGGTTTTCAAATTTACGATAAAAAATTGAGCGAAAGTTTCATTCCAGCATTCCGCTAAGAGATTAGATGGAACGTGTAAGAGATTAACTTATGCAGAAATATATATATAATATATAGAAAGATCATGCGAGTTCTCTTGAGATGTTATTAAGGTACTTCTGTATATTCGGTTTACACTAGGAAAAATTGCTGAAAATTAATAAGTGGGCAATGTGATTACTAAAAACAATGTGATTACTAAAAACAAACAGTTATTAAGGTAGATAATTAATTAGTGGACCAAAAAATAGCGACGTAAAATAAGTTTAAGCGTACATAAGTATGATTTTAGGTTGAACAAATTGTGCCTTAATGTCGTTGCTATCCAAGGCGGTCAGGGACTGTCAGTGCTTGCTTTGGCAGCTGGAGCACCTTTCACAAAATGTTCATTTCACCAAAAAAATAACGTTAGCCGAACTTGTATTGTTAACGGAATTTAAAGCCAGCCCAGGCTCAGCTGTGCCACATGTTTTTCACAAGGAAACCGGAAATTATGAAAGTCGCATGTTGGCTGCGCCTTTCTTTGTAACTATCATGCGTCTTGAACTTGAGCTTGACCTTGCTGGAAAATGGGGGAAAATGCTGTATTAAGCCAACATTAATTGGATAATTATGCATGCAACAGCAAATACATCAATCAAAGTGGCATTAAGCAACTATTTCATTAGGGGAATGCATTTAATTGTTTCAAAATAGTTGAATAAACAAAACAACAACGAAACAGGATAAGCGTAACGGAAAAGACTGGCCGACGGTTGTGCAAATGGCGCGTGATGAAATGTTATGCAATTGTACGCTGGCCAATTCGATTTCCACTTCCAACTACCAAAAAGACATGGCCAAGGCAACAACCACGATTGAAAAATAGAAAAAAAATACAAAAAAAAAATGCAATAGTAACAGCTTCCGCATTGCGCCTGTGCCGCATCCTGTCTGGCTAGAAAGTAGTCCAAGCATGCGCGCCAAAAGGCCAAGACATGTATGTGCCGGCATTTCCTGCCCCAGCTGAACCTGAACTTCAGGCCAAAAACTAACTGCCAAAAAAGTGCAAGTGGCACCGACTTTTATTGAGTAACACTTACCAGAGCCACAACTAGGCACATCTTCCAAACCAGTTAGCAAAAAAGAAAAAACAGATCTAAGAGTCAGATAGAGCCCAGCTGCATGGGGCCGGCTAGACCGGAGCCTCCCTCTTTTGCGTTGCCCAGCTCATAAGAGACGGTCAAAACAATACCCCCCGCCCTCGCTCACTGCCGCACATGACAAGTAACAAATGGTTATCGTTATTTGCAATTACGCTCATAAAAAACATTTTATTTATGCCGCGTGCTCTCATTTCCTACTGGATATGCAAATGATGCTGCCCCAGCTCGAGTCGCTGTGCTTGGGGCCGCAGCTTCCTCCCAGTGTCTATGCGTGAAACGTGAGCGGTTAACCATGCGCAGATTTCAATCTCTTGGCGCGCTCTTCGCTGTCGTCTTCGGGCAGGTTGCAAAACATGTTGCTCCAGCGCGTTTGCCCCGTTCGAGTAGTAGGAAGGAAGTTGGCATAAAACCGTTGTGTCCATCGCCAAGACTTTCAGTTTCGTTTAAGCCACGCGGCCGCTCAAGACGTGCAGCAGACTTGAAAGTAAATTTTGTAAATTTGTTTTCTTGACTGCGACTCCGCGCCTGAGGTCTAGTGAATCGCTTCGAGTGAAGTTCAAGTGTTAGCTCCCAAGCCCCACACAAAATGCGACTTTGCTGGAATGTAAGCGAAAGCATCTGTGAGTGGAAAAGTGGTTCTCTAATCAGTTATTTATTCACCTTCAGCTGCTGTCAGCTGCGCTGCTGCTGGGCTCGCTTGCGTCTGGCCTGAAACCGCCCAGATCCTTTTATCGACGCAGCTACTACAGTTCGGTGGGACCGCCGGGACCCGTGCATCTGGTATCTGGCTCCAATGGCCCTCCTGGCTATCGCGCTGATCTGCAGACCAACGAGAGCAAGCGTCGCGATGTGGCCAAGAAGTATCCGAAGAAGACGCAGTACAGGCCCTACACTTCGGTCAGTCGCAAACGCAGGATAAGGCCCCTTTAAGCCCATCTAATTTCTCATTACCCTTGCAGGAAGAGGATGACTATTCCAGCGAGCGCTATTCGGGCGAGTATTCGGGTGAAGCGCTGCAGGATAGTCGCGAGTATACCATAGGCACACAAATACGAGTTCAACATCCCATTACGGTGCCCAAAAAGATCAGCCCAACCTCACCGTATTCCAAGCAGCACAAATATGTGTCTGTCCCGCCCTACAAGAGCAGCGGGCGACAAGTTTATGCGGCCGATGTCAATTCTGGCGAGGAGCACGCAGTGGAGCCGCCGTCGAAGCGGACAAAGTGGACGCCGGCGCATTATGAATCGGAACCAGATCCGTTCCATTTGGTGCCACCGCCCAAGGCTACATCTGCCTCCAGTCATTCCTATAGGGTTTTCGAATCGGATCACGATGACTATGATGTACCCACGCGACCAAAGAACCACGATCGCTATAAGAGCCCTGCGTCCAAAAAACAGATTGATGCTTTTCTAGAAGATCAGCAGAAGCTGCTTGACGAGGCCATCAAGCTGCAGCTGCTCAACAATCCTAAGCTGCAAAAGTTCTTAAAATCCCATTCACATGAGCCACGACCCGAGTTGGAACTCGAGGACTTTGAAACCTTTCCACCAAACTTCTCTGGTCCCGGTCCGCTGCACAACAACAACTTCAGTGGTGAGCTTCCGCCGCTGTCCCCTCCCAAGGGCAGCCGACCACACAGGCGCCCGCCCGTCGTCGAGCTGAAGCCCTCCCCGAAATTGAAGCACATTATCAAGCCGAAAAGAAAGTACAGATCAGCGCTGGTTATCAGTGTGTAAGGCGGGATTTGAGGCGAGGCTTAGTCTTTAAGGCGTACTTATTTAAATATGTATTTTAATATGTTTATTTTAAAATGTATAGACTTGTTTTATGTAAATTATGTAAATATAGCAAACCGTTTATTTTAGATTTCGCCGAAACCAACAACGGACATTCAACTTCTCTTTCAAAGGCAGTTTCGAGAACTATTGAGTATATCAACTGGAAAACTGTGGAAATATGAAACTATCAGCGCCCATCCTATTTTTTTTTCTCAAATTAGTTTACCACCCATCTTTTGCGTGTAGGAAATAAAATTTTCTTCGAGCAAATTTTCGTCGAAAGCAATTGTTTTTCGCCAGTAGATTGGACTTTCCAGAATTGCAATCATATTCAATCAAATTACTGAAATGTATGAAGTGGATCGTACTCAACTTGAAGTGTTACCCTACCATTGAATAAATTTGACAACAATTTTCGAACATTAACTGGCTGTAACCAGAAGAAATGAATTAAATGGGTGTTTTAAGAATGCCAGCTGTATAATTTTTAAACATTTTAAGTTAGTTAGATGTGTTAAATGTGTTATTTGATTTAATAGTTATGTGTATTAAACGCTTCGATCTCTCGCATGTAAGTCCACTTAAACACTTAAGCTGCGCGGGCTTTTGGTATTTCGATTTCGTTATATGATATGGTTAAAATATAAAACTATTGTGGTTGCTGTCTCTGCTATTGCAGAGAAACACTAGTTTTACAGCGCCATCTGCTGGTTTGCCCGCTTTTTCTCAAGTGCCTTATGACTACCGTACCCTAGATGGCGCCAGTTAATAAGCTGTCTGACTTAAATTATTTTTTTTGTGTCTTGTAGAGATCCTGGTGTTAAGAGAATTCGAAATGTCATATAATTTCGGCAATTTATTTATTATAAGCTTTATTATACAGCCCAGTTCGCTTATAAATCTTTAAGCCGAAATGATATAACTACTATATATGTATAGCCTGGTTCGGGTAAACAGAAAACGAAAATAATATACCTGTTTAAATACGGGATACTCAATCACAGATTATCCCAAAAGTGGCCACAGCAAATTCTTGGTTTTTACCTCTTTTGCAAATGTGATCGAAAATCCGCAATTGAGTAAGCCACACGATTGCTACAGTAATAACAAAAACAATAATAACAAAAGTGGGTGCATAAAAAAAAATTACAAAAACAAAAGCAAAAATGATTTTCTTAATTGACTGAACAATTTCAACAGCCCCATAATCGTAGTACCGGAGTCCGAGGCGGAGCCATAACAAAACTGACCTTGAAAGCAAATCCGAGTGCGCGAGCCACGAGGTGGTGCAAAGAATGCGCGCAACAGAAGTGAAAAGTTAACTTGGCTACAGTGAACTCCTGTTGAGGTGAACCGAGCGGGGGGCCAATCAATGGGGCATATAATTGAGCAAACAGCTCTAATATTAGCTCATAGTTAATGAATTACAATAAAGCAACTGAAGCGTTACCAACCGAATGGCAAATGATGTTGATGCCAGGGTATTACAATATATTAAATTACAACTGGCTAACTAAAAAATTATGAACAGACACTTAAAATGAGAATTGATTTAGATTGCTGATAGTAATACACTATATTAATTGAGAAATTAAGCTAGCTATGCTAGAATGATTATGACGAGAATTAAACAAAATAATATATATATATATACGATATATAAGTAAGGTATATAGATTGCTACAAATTTGTAATATTACATCATCATTAACAAAATATTTGAAGTTTAAACATAGACAACTTCAGAAATGATGTAGTAGTATATTTCACATTCATTCATATTTTCAGATTTTGGCCAAATCATGCATAGATTGGAATTCTCAAGGTATTTACTAATAGCACATATTTTTCAATTATGGTAGAGTATCACATCTATATTTAGCTTTCCGGTTCAGGCTCAGGTACTGGTTGTTACACTCTCGGTTCTTTGGCCTCTTCGCTCTTGGGCGCGGGTGTGGGAGGTACTTGTTTTCATTTTCATTGGAATTCAGCAGGTCTCTAATTTATTTATTTATTTCTATTTTATTTTTTTTTGCACAATTTTGCCACGATTTTAGCCAACGGGCAACCAGTTTCGTGTCTTTCCTTGTTTGTTGCATAGAATCAAACTGAGCCGCAGCACCAAAACTTGTTTACCAGTGTATAAAGGTGTGTGTGCTTGTATTATGTATAACAAGAGTTGGTTGTGCAATGTGCAATGTGCATGGGGGCGTTTACCGGGCAAGGTGTTTAGATAAATCTGTTAAAAATTAAATTACTCGTAAACGCCACACGCCCAAAATATAAAGAAAACTTGTTTTGAGTAGAAAAGATAATCAGTTGTTGGCGGTACGTATTAAATATCGTGTATTGCTTAAAACTCTATACAAATGTTGTTTATGATACAATATGCATATATTGCTTATACGTCCCATGGCCCGTGCTGGGTATTACAATCTAGCATTAAAAGATTTTTGAAATTCAATTGATCAACGTCTTCATCGACCGCAAACACACTTACAAATTTATTGGTTTCGCTTCACATTAGGAGAGTAGAATTGGATTTAACAGCATTGAGGAGTATTTATAAATTACAAACAAAAAACTGCTAGACACACTACATACAAGATCGTAGATAGGAGATACGACATATATAGATATATATATATGTATATGTATATATATATAGGTTAAAATAGTGCAGAATTTTTGCAGCACTTTTACTTTCATTCTCAAACATATCACAAAAGAGTTTTGATGAAGGTAAGAACTGGAACAGCAGTAAGTGGTTGAGAGTTGGGAAAAGAAAGCGGTAGAATGAAACAGAATTTGAGAGAGACATGGAGAAAGAGAGGGTTACAGATAGACATAGGAGTGTTTCGTGTTGGGTGAGAATAAATGAAAGATTACGTAACATTACAATAGAAACAAGCTCAATCTATGTGGTTCTCTCTCCATCGCTTAGACCTTGTTGAAGGAGTAGGTGAAACCGTCGGGCGTGCGGTTCAGCGACAGCTTGCCGGGCGGTGAGAAGCGGTGAGGATTGGGCGTGGTCGTCGGATAGTAGGCAGCCTGCTGCTGTGGCTGATGGTATTGTGGCTGCGGGGCGGGCTGCTGGTAGGCGGGCTGTGGAGCCGGATTGTAAGTGGGCTGTACTGGCGCCGGCGCGGGACGGTACTGCGGCTGAGGCGCGGGCTGCTGATAAGACTGCTGCTGCTGGCCAAAAGAGGGATCATTGTAGCGAGGATCATAGGAGCCATCATCATAGTCGTTGCTGCGGAAAGAGGGCTGTTGTGCTGGGGCCTGGTACTGCTGCGGCTGGTACTGTGACTGTGGCTGGTAGCCGGCGGTGGGCACGGGCTGTGGTGGTGCGGGTGGTGCCACTGGCAAATGATCACCAGACGCTTGGAAGCTGTCAAAATAAGCAGAAAGTATAGCAAGCCACTAGCTGTTCGGCTGCTCGACCAACTTACCCATTCTTGCCCGCGGTGTAGGAGATGGTGCGACGCTGTCCGGAGGGATCCACATAGCTGTAGCTGCCATGGCGTGTGCCATCGGCGTCTGTCTCCTCTTTAAAGTTGATGCCATCTTCCTGTGTGTAGGCGGCACCGAATTTACCATCGCCGGACAAATAACGCTGCTCACTGATGATGGCCGCCGTTTTCGGATCCTGGTGATAGTTCTGGCCCACTGCCAGGGTCACGAGTGTGGTTAATGCGAGCTGCAGCGGCGAAAGATCAAAAGCAAACATATAACAATTAGCCAAGCACACACACACAAGCACAACAACTCACAAAGCGAAACATTTTTGTGTGGGTTATCCTTGAAAAGCTACTACGTAAACTGCGCGCTCTGAGAATCGGAATCGATATCACACGCGATTTGGCGCCTATACGTTATTTAGTCCGTTAACAAGGAGTTTTAAATATAACGAGAGCGACACCAGTTGAGTGCCAGACCGACGGCAATGGATTTTGTAAGTGAACTGCCTTCCGCAATGGTGCCGCCCAAGCTTTTATAGCGCCAGCGAGCTGGGAAAACCTTGGAACGGCGGCAACGGCTACGGCTACGGCTTGGGCTTGGGCTAAACTCATGGCTCGCCCAGGCGGTAGCTGATCAACATGTTGTTGTTGTTGTCATCGTTGTTGTTGTTGTAACTGGGGCTGCTTGTGCTGGTATTATTAACAGTAACAATAACAAGAATTGAGCTAAGTGCTCCAATAAGTCAACTCTCGTTGTTGTTGCTGCTGCGGCTGCTGCTGCTGCGGCAAGCTGTTTTACCAGTTTTGCGCTCTTTCGCTTTTAGCGTCTACTTTTGCTTTCTATGCTGGAGCTAAACAATTTTTTAATTATTTTTACATTTAAGTTAAAGTGGCATTAAAAAAAATAACCAAACTGAGAGCTGTGCCAATTGATATCCCTGTGCGATGTTCTGCCCACTGCATGATGCAATTTTGTGGCAATCATTTCATTTGGCCAATAAAATTGGCTGCACCAACCAATTGGATTGCACATGACCAACCCAAAAAAACAAAACTGCAAGCAATCAAACAAATCTATGGAAATTTATATCTTTAAATATAGTGAAGTCTGAATGCACTCTCAGCCAATTATTATTTACATTTTATTATAGCATATTTTTTATAAATTCTTCCAGGTTCCATTAGGCTATAAATGTAAATGGTAAGAAATGTGTCTGTCTTGAACAATGCGGAGTATTGAATAGAAACCCTGGTTTGCCCTTCTAGGCTGCGTTTATAACTTTTTTCTATACTCTACACACAATATCAGTTTTATTAATAGGCATAAAATGAAATATTATACTAATAATAAAAATAATAATATTATTTATATAAAAATTATAAATAAAAAAATTATAGACAATAATAATCTTATGATAATTATAATTATACATAGTAATATTCTACATTCTTTCCAAAGCATGCCCGAACATTGACTGTGAAGTGCACTTGTGCAAGCTAAGAGATTGCTTGAAGAAACTACTAATGCCAAATCCAGACATTTCAATCTATTCTGTATTTATTTTTTATACTTTTCATAGAACTTAGCTTAAATAAATAATGATAAAAGCCAAAGGAGTTTCTTGGCGCACCAGTGATACAAAACTACAATTCATTGATATAATCCGAAATTCGGGTTCGAAGCCCAGGCCAAAATAAGGTAAGTTGAGGTCATACTAACAAATTATTGCCCGTTTGCTCAATGTTTTTTACTTGGCGACAATTTTGACATCATCTTTTATCATAAACATAACATCTCAAGACAACTGCGTTAACTAAAATCTATTGCCTTATTTATCCACAATAGTTTTCACTGAATTTCAGTTGATTTTTATATGACCCACATAGTCATTTTATATTTTCATAGGAATATTAAAACTATTATTTATTTTTACAACAAACTTGATGACAAATTCACATAGATTTATAGGGTATTATATTTGCAGAGCAGAACCGTTTGAATATTTGACGAACGCTGCCGCCGCCATAAGTCGGATTAAGATTAAGAAATTTGCGATTACATGCAATAAGCGCGGGTGTTGCTCAGTGCTTGTTGTTGTAAATGTTGTTGTTGTTGTCAATGTTGTATGTTGTAGTTGTTTTTGTTGGTAAGTATTATAAATAGGTATTAACAATCGCAAATGCTGATTTATATCATGAGCTAAGCTTTTGTACAAGTTTTGTTTCTGTGGTGTGGTCAGCGCATGGCAACAGTTCTGAGCAGTCCATAAAATATTTATAGTTGTTGTTGTTGAAGTTGAAGTTGGCGCAATGTCTTTGACTTGTTTGACTTTGCGCTTGGCTTCAATAATTTATTGTTGTTTGAAAAGCCGTCAGTAAAAGGCATTGTTTGAGCTGCTTTATGGCCAACAGCTGGCTGCAGTTGTGGTTGTGGTTGTTGCTCTTGTTGTTGCTTTTGTTGTTGCTCTTGTTGTTGCTCTTGTTGTTGCTCTTGTTGTTGCTCTTGTTGTTGCTGTTGTGTGTTGCATTTGGAGCGCCCACCCACGCCAGCTTTTGCATAATTTATGGCCAATGGCTTGGTATTGAGCTCCTTGCCGACGACACGTGCATATGTGTTAGTACTCAGCGATAATTACACGATCTGAAAGCGTTTTACATATTTTAATGAGCCACCTTAGCATACGCACAGGCCTAAAACCTGAACCATTTGTCCGGCACTAAGCAGCCGCATGTGGTCCGCAATAGTTTGAAGTAGAAAACATTTCAATTGAGAGCCTTTGCCCTTTTGCAAGTCGCCATCGTTGTTATTGTCATTAGTGTGACCAGAAACACACACCAGAAACATGGCACGCCCTCTCCCAGCGGGCGGGCCGGCGCACTCTGAAAGTGGCAGCGGCAGCAGTTCAGGAAATTAAATCAGTTGACAAACAACAACAGCAAATGGCGTTGATGAAGGCCAGGAGCTGGGCCAGGAGCAACGTTTCGTCAATTCTGTTCATTTGGATTAGCTTGAGGGTGCAACAATTCGTATGCTCGGGAGGGTTGTTTACCCTGCCCGTCCCCTCCCTTCCTTGCCATTCAGTGCGACCAAAAAAAACTATTGCAAGTTCCTTGAGCTGCGTTTGGCTGCCTTTTTGATTTCGAGGCGTTCGCCTAATGCTGATGTGACGATACTGCCACCCAAGGCAACGGCTGTTCTCTCTGCCGATTTTGGAATTGAGAATTTAGAATTTTGGGCGCGTTGTTGTTTTTATTGTGCCGCATAACGCTTTTATTTTGATGCTTTCACTTCTGGCGAGTTAATCACAATGATAATGAGGGTTGAGGTTGAGGCTGAGGGGTTGCTGTTTCGTACAAATTGCATGCAAAATATATCTATCAACAGCACATATCATCTCTCTTAATTTTGCGTTGTCTCTCAATTATTTCAGCTGCTGCTGCCACCACCCGAGCTCGAGCTCGAGCCCGAACCCAAACCCTAGCCGAATGCCGCTCCCCAGCCAAAGGCACAGACAATTGCGATTATTTGTAATTTAAGATGCAGTCGAGCGTTTGAATAAAAATCGAGCGAGTCAACGTTGATGTCGACTCTTTCGCATTGTGCACACACACGCACACTCAGGCAGACACAGGCACACATCCCCAACCCCACATGTTAGAAGGTTAACAATCTGTTCTTTTGTTCGCCAACATATTCAGCTCTTAGTTCTCAATTTGCTCGGGCAAAAATTGAATACTAAACGCTTATCAGCGCCGAGTGATCGCCCAGAAGTCAAACTGAAACTCGCTAAACTTGTTGAGAGCGCTAAGAGAAATACGATATGCTCATATATATATGTATGTAAAAAGAGAGATGGGATAAGCCCTAGCGATTCACAGGATTCGTATAGCACATAGCCAGTAGATGGTGATTTGATAGCCAAGTGACTGACTCATGAATGACCCGGCAGCGATTTCCTCAAAAGTCAGCCAGTTTTTCGATAATTTGTAATTTGAGAGACAGACACAGAAGGATGAATAATTACGCGTTTATAGACCAAATGTAGAAGATCTGCTTAAGTGCGCGCTAATTGCGCATCTGTCAGATATTTTAGCCGGGTTTCCATTTCCCTTCGCTTCTAATGCCATTATGTTGCTTTTGACTCTGATTTGGCTCACGGATTAGCCTTTTACACACATAGGCACACACACACTTGTCTACGTTTCAATTGCTTTAAGTGCCACTGGACCAGTTTCCCAGCCCCACATTGCAATGCAGCCACGATATAGACGAAATCAAGGTCAATAACGTGTCGCCGCCCCGTTGGCCAACGCTGGAGCTGCGTTCGAGCCAAGTGCGTGTCTGGGCCGGGCCAGAAACGAGTTTGTGGCGCATGCGTAGCGGTTTTCGCATTTCAGACTTCCGCATGTCGCTGACGTTGATAGGAAAAACTGGAAGTGAGCTGCCGGGCTAGGGCGGTCTACAAAGTGGTGCCAGGTTGCCGTTAAATCTGTCACATCTCCGACCAAATGATCTTCCTGGCCTTGACTGCAGCACACGATTTGCCCAGTGTCCAGTTGCATTTCGAAAGTTGTTCCAACAGCGCCAAATCGCCAACCTTGAGAGGCTGGGCACGTGCATTGAACCCAACAATGAAGGCATTCTTGTACCGATCCAGCAGATAGCACACAGCAATTTACTAGCACAGCTCAAGTAGTTGCAATGAGCTGGAAACTTTGAGCATAAGCGGCTTAAACAATTACCAGATTATATGGACCAAAAACAGACACGAATAAAATTGCATTTTATTTCCATTTGCAGCTATCAAAATAATTGAATGATATGTGTTTTTTTTTAGGTAAAAATCAAACGATCATCGCTTAAACCTCAACGTGAATTGGAAGAAGGTCAACATAATTGTATTTTCAAAAGTGTCACATTGAAGCCATTGGCCAAGTGAGTCATAAATCGAAGGCAGTTTAAACCTAAATTACCCCCAAGCTAACAATATTTGTAAGACTAAGTCAGGCTGTGATTGATTGACTCGTAGATACTCTGTACTTATGCTTAAAGTTCTCATATATCCAAACTAGCACAGATATATGCTCATATGCCTAAACAGGGATATCAATTGTTTATTAAATATTGTTTCAGGTTTCGTATACTTTAGTTGTTATATGTTCACAGTTTGTGTAATTTCTCTATATATAAAATTGTTTGACCTGACTAACTGACTGACTGATCGACGTCAAACATTTTCAAAGATCTTTGTTCAAAATTCATTTCCAAGGATCTATAAAAAGAATCATATGAGACTTGTTTCGCACTGATTTGGGAAATTCCACACACAACAGTGGTAAATTGACGAAATATATTAAAATGTCAGAAATATATTTGCCAAAAATATATATTTTAGGGTTCCTTTTTCGTAAATATTGAGAAATTTATTTTCAATCATTTAAATGCTTATATATTAAAGA